TTTCGTTCATTTTTTTTTTTTTTTTTGCATTATTTACGTCACTTCCTCTTTTTCGCCGTTTCTTTTTTTCGGATATAAATAATTTAAATAGTGCTTCTAGATCTCAGCGAGATTCGTTCAAGTTTTCCATTTTTGCTCGTTAAAATGAAAAGATGCTGGATAAAAAATAAATTCGAATGATGATGACTAGTAATAAAACATGATGCAGTTTTATCGTAATGATCGAAATAAACGAAGGAATTGTGAATGAAAAATAACACGGAAAGATATAACCTGTTATGGTGTAAACAACGTATATGTATTTTATTTCAACATTGAACATTCACTAATGTGTATACAATATAATATATTTGTATGTATAATATATAATAATAATTGTAATAATAATATTGTATTGGTATTTATGTATACAAGTACATCATTTTTTACTGCTGCTGTTAAATGTATACACGTGTATGCATTCAATTAATTAATCGGTATAATAATTAATTCTAATGCTTTTCATCGATTAATCGTACTGTATATCTCTGTCTATCCTTTTCTAATTTACGTGTAGATTAATACAGCCCTTAAATCAATTATATATATATATATATATCGATCACTTGTCTGCTTCGTGGATAAAATCTCGTCTTGTTTTATATTTACTTTACACATGCACGCGTGCAACTATTATATATATATAGATATATGTATATATATTTTGCTTTGTACGCACGCGTATGTATAAATATTCCCTGTAATTTATTTTCTCTAAAAAATTATCTACTTCTATGTGTTCAATTATTAACTAACTAACTATTGGTATATCATCGCTTGTGTTACACCTCTCTCTCTTTCTCTCTCTCTCTCTTGCACTCACTCACTCTCTCTCTCTCACTTAAATTTTTATCACAATTATCTGGTATTATCGCGTTGAACGATTATATTCCTCGAGCTTTGCGGATTACGCTTCTTTCTTTCCTTTAACCATTAATCTCTTTCAGTTTTTTAGGATAAATAAAAAAAAAAATATAAGAAAATGGAAAATAATGGGAAAAATTTATTCGCCATCTTTCGTTATAAATTTCCCTTCTTTTTGTTATCTTAAAATTTAACGATAATTGCAAACAGGATGGAAATTTAGAGGACAAAGTAATTTTTCAAAAAAAAATTTTTTTCTTATTGAAAAAGAAATAAAAAGAAGCGTGATTCGTTTTTCGAACATGAACAAGAAGAAATTTACAAAAAACTTTGGGTCTTTCCCCTGCTTTCCCCCTCCCTTATTATTTAAACGATAAAAATATAATTCTGAATCACACAAGAGGCCTCGAATCAACATAACAATCTTATTCTTCGTTAAATTTCTATTCTTCTTTCTCGTGTTCGCAGCTCGATTGACTATTTATATATATATATATATATAAAACTATCGTTAACAATATTGAATAGTGACCGCTTAAAAATCATTTTTTTTTATTGCTGTTGTTTCGTGCATTGACTCGGGATATATATCGTGAGAAATGGCGCTGAATAATCGAGTAAATTATAGGTTAAGTTAAATCTTTGTTTATCCACATATCTCTAAATTAATATTTCAAATTTAAATGATCCATGTTTAATAATTATTACATTTCGAAAAGCGTATCTAACCTTTAAAACAAAAGATATTACAATTATTATTGACAGTAATATATTGGTTGATGCAAACATTTCCATGTTAATTGTAATATTAATTGCATATATAATATATAATTAATGAGAATTCATCGATCAAATCGTTTACTTTAGATATTAATGAAAATGAAAATTATCCATAGTCGAAATACGTACCAGAAAATGTGTTCATGAATATAAAAGAAAAAAATTAAAAAATGTTTAACATTTAATCATCAAGATTTCACCATGTTCCATATTCTTTTAATTCACTGAAATCATGTGTACAACCTGAAGAAATAAAATCACACTGAAAGTCTGACTTTCAATCGAAAGTTCATTTAAATCCAATTCGTTTCTGTCAAACTTTTTCAATCAAGGTATGTATATATATATATATTTTTATAAAGATGTTGAAAGAAGAAAAAGAAAAAAAAAGGAGATATATAAACGGGGATGAATAAATAAACAAACCACAGGCACATTTAAACAAAATAATCCGTGAATTTATTAAAAATAACACAGGAAAGAATAAAAGAAATGACAAACAACAAATCAGGACAATGAAGCCGCACTAACCGGTTAGGACGATTCGTCTAATTTACCAATTAGTAAATCAACTAATTTTTAACTTAACTAATAGCTTATCACAACCGTGGCCGCTCTCTCTTTCTCTCTCTCTATATATATAGTATATGTATATATATTATTTCCTCGCTCGCTTATTGGTTAACTTTGGAGAGAAGACCGACGGTATCGCCATCACTTTCAAGTTTTGTTCTACACGTTCTCTCACGTGGAACGATTCTTCGTTCTATCCACACAACATTTACGATCAACGCTTGAACAAGAAACGCTTTATTTCGATAGAGAAATAAGAAAGAGAACGTGCAATTACGTGTTATTTCACCACACAATGATCTCGATCCACCGCAGTTACTTGCAAAATATTCTCCGCGCGCGCGCGTGTGTATGTGTGTGTATGTGTGTGTGTGTAAGTTCTCTCGTTTCGTTGTAACAGATTATCATTATT